GACAGTGAATAAGGAAGACCATAGAAGAATTGATGCTTTTGAGTTATGGTGTTGGAGGAGAATATTGAAAGTGCCATGGGCTACCAAAAGAACAAACAGATCTGTGTTGCAAGCAGTGTAGCCAGAGTGCTCCTTGGAGGCCAGGATGGCCAAACTTTGTCTCTCATACTTCGGACATGTTGTCAGGAGGGCTAGTCACTAGAGATGGATATCATGTTTAGTAAAGTGGAGAGTAAGAGAAAAAGAGGAAGACCCCCAGCTAGTTGAATTGGCAATATGTCATCATCAATGGGCTCCAGTGTGGCAACAATTGTGAGGCTGGCCCAGGACCGGGCAGTATTTCGTTCTGTTGTATTTAGGGTCCTATGAGTCGATGGCACTTAACAACAAGTGTCCTCCATGCTATGGAATGTTTTGGAGATTATTATTATTATTCAGTGTTGCATAACGTGTGTACCACAGTCTGGTCCACACTCCTCTGATGGTGGCAATCTAGGTTATCGCCATCTTTTTGCTATTGTGAATAATGCTGCAGTGAACATGGGTATGCATGTATCTGTTCGTGTCTCAGCAGAGAGATTGCTAGGTCATATGGTATTTCTATGTCCAACCTTTTAAGATAGGGCCATACTGTTTTCTACAGAAGTAGTACCATTTTGAATCCCCACCAACAGTATAGGAGGAACCTAGACTTTCCACACCCTCTCCAACATTTGTTGTTTTTTTTTTAACTTTGCTATTAAATGGTACTACTTTATTATTTTTATCACTGTGTATGGATGGACTACAAGAAATACACAATTAGTATAAATCTAATATAAATAGCTTTTTCACTAAAACAAATATCCTTGTAGTCATGTGTAAGTGAATGAGTATTGACATTATTATCCTAGTTCTTTCATTTCTGGATTTGTTTTAATATTTTAATAATTCAGAATGACATCCCTTCCAACTAGCGCTAAGTAATGAAGTATTCTTACATATCTCGCTTTCCCATTTAATGCCAAGAACCCAGACTTGAGCATTATTTTCACAAATAAAGAAGGTACTCTAGTGGCACAACATCTGTTGTTGTTATGTGCCGTGGAGTCGGTTCCGACTCATAGTGACCCTGTACAGGGTTTCCGAGGCTGTAAATCTTTATGGGAGCAGAACGCCTCATCTTTCTTCCATGGAACAGCTGGTAGTTTCAAACTGCTGACCTTGTGGCTCGCAGCCCGATTCGTAACCACTACGCTACCAGAGCTCCTTTATGGCTTGGGTTAGGCGTACCTTAGTCCTCAAGCTGATATCTTTGCTCTGCAATACTTTCAAAAGATCTTGTGCGGCAGATTTGACTAATGTAATACATCGTTTGAGTTCTTGACTGCTGCTTCCTTGAGTGTTGGTAGTTTATCCAAGAAAAATGAAGTCCTTGACAGATTCAATCTTTTTTCCATTGATAAGAATGTTGTTTATTGGTCCAGTGGTGAGGATTTTTGTTTTCTTTACATTGAGATGCAATCCATACCAAAGGCTGCACTCTTTGATCTTCAGTAAATATTTTAAGTCTTCCTCACTTTCAGCAAGCAAGGTTGTATCATCTGCATATCGCAGGTTGTTAATGAGTCTTCCTCCAATCCTGATGTCACGTTTTTCTTTATAGAACCCAGCTTCTTGGATTATTTGCTCTGCATACAGGTTGAATAAGTATAGTGAAAGAATACAACCCTGTCACACACCTTTCTTAATTTTAAACCAGTCAGTGTTCCCATGTTCTGTTTGAACAACTGCCTCTTGGTCCATGAACAGATTCCTCATAAGCACAACTAAGTGTTCAGGAATACTCATACTCATACTTTGCAGTATTGTCCACATACACAATCAAAAGCCTTTGCATAGTTAGTAAAACACAGGTAAACATCTTTCTGATATTCTGTGCTTTCAGCCAAGATCCATCAGACATCAGCAATGATATCCCTCATTCCATGGTCTCTTCTGAATCCTGCTTGAACCTCTGGAAGTTCTCTGTCAATGTATGCTTATAGGGATAAAGAAACATAGGGCAAACTCTATGTAACAGTGGAGGCAGATATCAGAGTGATGCAGTTGCAAACTAAGGAATACTGGAGATTGCCAGCATCTGATGGATAGGAGAAAAGCACTAAATAAACTTTCTTTCATAGCTTCCAGAATAAACGAACATTGAAAAATTGTGAGAGAGTAAATTTTGGTTACTTTAAACTATCCACTTGTGGTGGTATTATGCAAATTGATGTTAAGGTTAAGTAAAATAATCCTTTCATTTTATGATTTCCTCTGTGTTTAATCTGAAGGTTGGGCTTCAGCTCTTCAGTGAGCATTATCACTGAAACAAGCATAGTTGAATGTTGAACTTTTTCCTGATTGTGTTCCAATATTGAGAAATCCAGAAAGTGTGAGCCTTGGTTTTCCAGCTGATGGTTGACCATTGAACTTTTTCTTGATTAGCAATTAAGGATGTTTCTATTCCATACCCTGCTGTTTGCTCTCAGGCTCCTAGTGATGGATCTATGTCTTGTGACGAGTAGTGATTTTTAAAAGAAACTTACCTTCCTTCGAGTATTGGCCCAGCTTTGTTTGCACGTGTCCACATTCACACCTGCACAGCAGTGATCTTAAATTGAAAATGTTGATAAGACAGTGCAGCCAACAGAAGTTTTAATATAATGGTAATACAGATAATTTTTAACTCTCGTGCATTATATAACTTCTATAAATTTATAAATAAGTACAAATGGCTTATCAAGCATGACCTTCTATTGGCAAGAGTAGAAAAATATGTGAGCTAAAAAGAAGCCTGCTGAATATCAAGTTACTCATACTATGGCATCATAAGGAAAAACAGAAAATGCTCCTTGGTAGATTTGTTAAGTGAATATCAGAAGAGATTAACTTAGATATGAATATATGTATTATTATGTTGATATTACTTTTTAATTTTTATCTAGGATATATGCTATTCAATATATCCTTTTAATTGTACATTTAATTTTGTACAAAACATGATTATCAAGTTCCTACTATTTAAGCATTATAAAAAGTAAAAATAAATATTTCATAACTATTGTTAAATGCCATTGAGTTGGTTCCAACTCCTAGCAACCTGTATAGGGTTTCCAAGGAGTGACTAGTGGGTTTGAACTGTAGACTTTATGGTTGGAAGTCCAGTGTTTATCTTACAGCCCGACACTAAGACCCCATTTCATAACTATTTGTAAAAATTAAACACTATTAATAGAATATGGAACTCTGGGTGTGCTAACCACAAGATCAATAGATCAAACCCACCAGATGCTCATTGGAATCCCTATAAAGGATAGCTATGAGTTATGACTAACTCAACAACGCTTAACCACAACAACAATAGAAGTTACTAATGATGTTATTGACATGCTGAATAATATATCTATTTTAAGTGAAGTAATTTAGAGTTATATAACTTGCTTCATAAATATCCATACAGCTCCATCCAGACACCTCAGGTTGTTTTAAATTGTTATGTTTATTCTACTTTAGAAATTTCTTTTAATTAGGGATAAATAAATTATTATTTTTAACTATTATTCAAAAAGATGTGGCAATCTGCTTCTGTAAAGATTTACAGCCTTGGGAACCCTATGAGTAGTTTGTGCTGTACTCTGTAAGATTGTTATGAATTGGAATCGACTGGACAGCAACAGTTTGGGTTTGAGTGTTGTTAAATGTATTGTTGTTGTTGTTGTTGTTTTATCTTAAAGCTACCAGAAAAAATTATAATGGACTACTACGAGAAGTATAAGCCTAGGATGAATGAGCTGGAAGCTTTTAATATGGTAAGCCTCAGAGTTAAGCATATTAAATTGGATATGTTGCTGGACCTGAATAGGGCCCTATTACATTTTATTATTAGCCAATCTGTGTTGTTATTCCCTGACTATAGAAAAACTGTTTTATAGCATTTCCTATTTTAGAACTATACTAGGTGTTAGTCATGTAATAAAGTGAACACATGGTATTCTGCTTTTAAAGTGTATTATAAGTTCACAGAAAGGAATTTAAATTCCTTCAACACATTGTTCTTGCGATTATTTCACAAGCATTCCTGTTAGTGAATTTCATTCTTAGTACATTTTTTAAAAAAGTTTTTTGTCCACATATGTATGATTGATTGCTTGTTGGATTACTCCTCAAAGTCATTAAAAGGACATTCTTTTTTTATTACTTTTTTTTTTTTTCTTTAACTTTTATGTCTGCATTTTTCTGTTTTTGAAGGTGTACAATGGGTATTAGAGATTTAGGCTAAAATAAACTATCCTAGATATAAATTTCTCAAACATAAGATAGTAATTTTTCTTTCAAGTGAGTACCATCCAATTCTATTCTTTCTTTTAGTTGAAAGTGGTTCTGGCTCCCTGCATAGAGACATTGATTCTTCTAGACCGACTTTGCTACCTAAAAGAACAGGTAAATGTGTTATTTTTAAATGTATATAAGAAATAATCTCTATAAAATCCTGTAATGGATCCACTAATCTCTAAAATAAGTTCATTTCACATTAAGCTATTAATGTAATATTTCTCATTATATTTTCAAAGTCTAAATAGTCATTCCATCTCTTTTTGAAAATCTAAACAAATGCACAACAGATGTTTTCAGCAAAGCTGCTATAATAAAGTTTATGTTTCTTTAATTATTTGGCAGTTACTATTCAGTAGGCAGTGAACACAAAACACCACATATGAGATATTGTATAATTGTAATTAATAAAGGCCAAACATAAATGTTATCATATATACATATAATTTTATAAGAATATGCCTTTTAATTTACTTTTGAATTTTTGGAAACTTGTGCTTTGCAGTAGAGAAACTTCTTTCTGAATAATAAGATTGCTTCTGAGTTTTCACAATAAATGTTAATTGTTTTATAATTTTTTAATGATAAAAATGTTGAGTTTTTTGGTTACCCTTAGGATTTTTTTGCAACTTTGAATTGCAATCAAAATAGAGTTTTGTGAGCTGTATAAATTAAATCCATCTGTGAGTACTGCCTTACACTTTTGCTATAAACTCTTCATTCTAACAAGTTTACTTTATTATATGGGGAGCTATACTTTCTTCTTCCAAATAAACTACTTGGAACAAATGGACTATAGTAAATGTCTACTCTTGTTCTAATTGTATTTTTATGGAAAAGACTATTTTAAATTAATTTTTGAAGTAAATTAAGATGTACTTCTCTCAACTGCCAACTAACTCCACATAGCTTGAGACCTTTGGTTCCCAAATTGGTAAGACAGGTTGAGGCCTCCTCTAATAGGTATTCATTTCTGTTTACAAAACAGTTTCCTTGACCCAAGTACAATAGGTAGATAGTGTGCATGGACATTGTCGTTTTTTTAAGTTCTGTTGGGTCAGTTCATAAAAACCCTGTGTAGGATTTCTGAGCAGCTGCTGATGAGCTTGAACTGCTGACCTTGTAGCTCCAACAAACCTTGCAGCCCAATGCCTATCCTAGTTCACCACACCACGACTTCTCACAGACTTTAATAGATTAGTTATGCAATGATAGGAATGATATCAATGTTATTTTTTGGTTAATTTTATTATAAAATGAGTACATGTTTTTGGTAGAAGATTTAAAGAGAACAGAAGAATATAAAAGAAGAAAAGTATTTTATTTACCCCAAAAATAAATAAATAATAGTAAATAAATAATTAATAAATGTAACTAATCTCACCCTGTAACATTAACTACTGTTAATTTTAGGCTACATTTGTCACATTTCTAATGCATGTGTATTTTGTGTTATATATGTGAACACTATTCATTCTAGTTAACACATAAATCAAATTGTAAATATAATTTTGTATCTAATTTGTTTCATTTGATAATATTTTTTTAATTTTGTCACCTCATTAAATAAATGATTATAAATATTATATAACTAATAAATGGAATCCTAGTATGGCTCTGTAGGATAAGCACTGGACTGCTACATGTAAGGTCAGAGGTTCAAACCCATCAGCAGCTCCTCAGAAACCTTATTTAGGAATGCTATGGATTGGAACCAACTGGACAGTACTTCACAGGAACCCCAATAATGAAATATAAAAGGAATGCTGATGACACTGTAGAATAAACACTGGACTGCTAACTACAGTCAGCAATTCAAACCCACCAGCCACTCCATGGGAGAAAGATAAGGCTTTCTGTTCCCATAAAGATATATCGCCTTGGAAACCCTACACAGGTTCACTGGGTCAGAGTAGGCTCGATAGCACCTAAAAACAACAGCAGCAGTGAACTATGATTGCAAAAGTCAAAGGTATTTCTATAAATATAATGCCTTTGTTGAAAGACTTAATAAAAGAAAATCACCATTAGATTCATTAAATGTATCCAAAAGATGAATAGTTTCAACATCGTTGTTGTTAAATGCCATCAAGTCCATTCTGACTTATAACAACCCCTTTCTGAGGAGCAGCTGATGAATTTGAACTGCTGACCTTGTAGTTTGCAGTCCCATGCTTATCTCATAGTGCAATACCAGGAGTCCACTTTCATCATGATAGAGAAAAATGGCAGGGACCAATAACAATTGGGATTTAGTTAAATAAATGATTATATGGTGACAGTGAGTTTAATCATATAAGCAATTGGTCCTTGCCATTTTTCTTTATCACAGAAAGCTATTCACCTAGTAAATCAATCTGTATATATATCTTAATTATTTCTTCAGCATAAATTTTTTAAAAAACACATAAAGGTGAAATTGCTTCAACAAACAATATGACCTTTATCAACATTTTAAACGTAGATTTGCATAATAGTTATATTGGTTTATATACATGCTAGCAGAGTTTGAGAATGTCCATTTTACCAGCTGATAAATCATAAAAGAAACCTCTCCCAAGTTGTGTGATTAAGGGAAACATCAGGTTGAATTATATAAGAAATATTTGGGTCACTAAATCATACTGCTTAGTTTTTGTTTCAGTATTAATTCTAATTCAGAAAGAAGAGGGTCGTTTTTTATATTGTTATTTCCATGGTTTTATGTTACAGTTTATAGTTAAACTGTTTCTTCTCTCCGTCAACAAATTGCTGTATATCTAAATTCATTTATCAATTTGCAGGAAAACATTGTATGGTCTGCACTTGTGAAGTTGTTTGATCCTGTGAAATCTCCTAGATGTTACGCTGTTATTGCTCTTAAGAAGCAGCAATGATTCAAATTAAAGCAAGTTATTGCTAATATTGCTCCTCTAAACATTATGCTATATTATGTAAATATTTGTGTCATTGTATATTTTTTAACTTAAAATAAAACAAAAGAATGAATAACAGTATAACACCAATCCATTTTTTCATTGTGAAGCACACATTCATAAAATAAGAACTAATTAAAATACTGTAAAAGGGCTAACCTACTTTCCTGAATTATCACTTCAGTGTTGTTGTTATTGTTGTTCATTGTCATGAAGTCGATTCTGACTCATGGTGATCCATGAGTGGTCCCATCTGTACAGAGGAGAGCTGCACCCTGTAGAGTTCAGGCTGTGTTTGGAAGTAGTTCACCCAGGCCTTATTCCAAGGAGCCTCTTGGTATGTATGAATTGCCACCCTTTCAGTTAGTGTGCTGTGTCACCAGGGTTGTGGTGGTGGTGGTTATGTGCTATAGAATCGGTTCCAACTCAGAGTGACCCTGTATAATGTTTCTGAGACTGTAAATATTTATGGGAGCAAAAAGCCTCATCTTTCTCCCATGGAACCACAAGTAGTTTTGAACTGCTGACCTTGGGATAGGACATTATAGATACGAGTCTTGAGGGGCAGCGGTGGATCAGCAATGGAGCTCTTGCTGTTTTGCTCTTCCATGACAGAGACCCAAGGGTTCGGATGTTCTACAGTGCACCGCATGGTCAGCTACCACCTTGTACATTGCTATGATGCTAAACTGGCTCTCGACCTACAAAACTCAGCCCATGAAAACTCTCACAACACTTCAGGCTGCAACAGATCATGGAGATGGCTCAGGACCAGGCAGTGTTTCATTCCATTGTGAATGCAGTCAGGGCCAAGTAAACTACAGCTAACAGCAATGTGAACTTTGCTTCTTTTCAATATTTGAGACCCTTCATATTTCTATATATCACGTTTTGACTTTTATTGACTTAAAAACAAATGAAAACTATAGATGTAGGTCTAGTAAAAATTAGTTGATACTGTGGATAGTTTGCATTTTCCTCCACATTTTAGAAGGATTTCACCAGAAGAAGAAAATTCACATTTCTAAGGAAAAAATAACCAGGAACCAGGCAGGAGTGAAAACTGCCTATTGTATGGCCTTAAATAATTAGTTTATTTTGGAGAGAGATTTCGGTAACTCTAATCTTGTTGTTGTTAAGTGCCATCAAGTCAGATCTGACTCATAGAGACCCTATATAAGGTTTCCAAGAAGTGGCTAATGAGTTTGAACTGCTGACCTTGTGGTTCAAACTGACCTGCGGTTGAGTGTCTTATAGCACCACACCAGGACTCCAATGCTAATCTTAGGAGTGAATTAATTACTTATGTTGTTGTTGTTGTTGTTGTTGTTAAGTGCCTTCGAGTTGATTCTGACTCCTAGCAACCCTATATAGGGTTTCTGAGGAGCAGCTGGTGAGCTTGAACCACCAATCTTGCAGTTTAAATGGCTTTGCAGTCTGATGCATTAACCCACGCTATTTACTATTTATACTAAATAAAAGTGATTGTGTTGGCACTTAATAGAATTACCTTGATCTGTATTAAAAGCAAATCTGAATAAAGCAAGAGTAAGTGGGAGGAGGCCAACTCTCTGCCCAATGTAGTACAAATTCCTTTCACTAGCAGAACACTTAAAATTTCTGATGCACACATTGAGACTGAAAGTTGGGACAATGCTTCTTTGATGCTGGCGACACTGTATACAACTTTCCTAAGCAGAAAAATTTACTTTCTTAGATTTTAAAGTCTATTCACAGATATGAACAATAATTATATTAATACTAAGTTTGCAACCAAAATATATGTGAATGATCAGGTACTTTGTACTGCTAGTATAATAACTGAGAATATAAGATCTTTTTTTAACTTTTTATTCTGGAAAATTTCAAGCATATTCAGAAGTAAGAGAGTATAGTATGTTAAAACCCCATATACTCAACACAAATTTTAATAATTATGAACATTTTACCAATGTTGCTTTATCTATACACATATATGGGTGTGCATACACACATACTCAGAATCCTGGTGTGGTGCTGGGGGTTAATGCACTGGACTACAAAGTCGCTCCTTGTAAACCCTCTACAGGGTCACTATGTGTCCAAACCAACTTGACAGCACTTAACAACAATAAATTACACATACTCACTCATACCAACCACCTTTGAGTATTTTAAAGCAAAGCTCAGTATAACCAGTTAAGGAGTTTTTCTTTAATAATATCCATTTCTTGTCATTTGTTGTTGCTGTTGTTAAGTGCCATCAAGTTGGCTCCTACCCATAATAACTCTGTATAGGGTTTCCAGGGAGCAGCTGATGAGCTTAAACAGCCAACCTTGAAGTTCAAACCAACTTTGCAGTCCAGCGTATTAGTCCACAGCACCACACCAGGACACTAATTGACACACACATAAAAAAGTATTTTATATAAATTTGTTCAATTCAGAATCCAGGAAGCCATCCTCATTTGCATTTGGTTGTTATGTCTCTTACATTACTTTTAATATATAACAACTTTTACTCTTTTTATTTCATAGGTGTGGTTTTTTTTTAAGAAACCGCTAGAATTTTCCAATTCTGGGTTTATATGATTGTACTATCATAGTTGCTGTATACTGCATTTTCATTGGCTAATTTTTGGAAGTAGGTCACCAAGTTTTTTTCCTAGTCTGTCTCACTCGGGAATCTGCTGAAACGTGTCATCCATGGGTAGTCCCGCTGGTATTTGAGATACTGGTGGCATCACTTCTAGAATCAATAATATACAACCTACCACAAAATGACAAATTGACAGTGATATTGAATATGCTCTGGACTGCCAAAAAGAACAAATAAATGCTAGAAGAAATACTGTACAAACAGAATGTTCCGTAGAAGCAAGGATGGTGAGATTTCGACTTCCTTACTTTGAACACATTACCAGGAAAGATCTAGTACTGAGAAATACATATTTTAGAGTCCTAGTATGGCACTGTAGGATAAGCACTGGACTGCTAACTGCAAGACTGGCAATTCAAACCCACCACCCATTCCATGGAAACCCTATAAAGAGCAACTATGAGTTGAAGCCAACTCTACAACAACAATAACGTCATCATTTTGGTAAAGGACCAACCAAAATGGAAATCCTCAGTGAGAAAGATTAGCAAACTAGCTGAAACAATGGACTCCCAGTGATTAGGAAGATGGTGCAGAACTGAGTGATGCTTTCTTCTATTATCCGTAAGATAGCCGTGAGTCAGATCCAACTCAACAGCAACTGGTAATAGCCGTCATTGTGCCATTTCATAAGTCTGTGTGTCCCATTCAAATGAAGCCTTGGTGGCACAGTTGATAAGTATTTGGTTACTGATTGTGGTGCTAATGCACTCAGAAAAAAAAGATGTGGCGATCTGCTTCTGTAAAAATTTACAGCCTTGGAAGCCCTATCTCCTCTACACTACTGGATTCCTATGAGTCAGAATCAACTCAATGGCAATGAGTGGTTTTATTTTATTCCAAATATTTCCTGTAAACTAATAGATTAGAAATTTGATTCAGTTCAGCTTGTTGTTAGTTGTTTGGTTTTATCTTTTGGCAAAAATGCTTCATAGTATTACTTCCTGTTGCATCACAACAGGAGACACAAAATGTTTAGTTGTCCTTCATTTAATAATTGATCAGTGGCTTTAGATGTTGTGAGCCTAATTTATGCCGTATAAACTCCCTCATTAACCTTTCTCTTATTATGTTACCAGTCATTAACAGTGATTAAGAACAAGAAGAAAGAAAGAAAAACACTTTATACTATGGTTAATTTCTCATATGCATACTAATGACCTAAGAATCCTCCCCTGGTTTCAATTTAATTTTTGTATTTTATCTTACTAAATTATCTTTTTGTTTTTGGTATACTACTTTATTTCTTCAAATGGATTACTATGAGTAGCAGAAAATATTCCTAGCCTACTGTTTTCCTTTCATAATTTTACCTCTGTGTAAAATTTTGAATTCCTTCCCTGGTTCCAAATATTTATATAATGTTCATTTCTCGCTGCAAGTTTTTTTAAAAAAAGAGTGTAAAGCATTGTTTAGTGTAATGAATTACAACTGTTTCATCACCAAGGGAACTTAATAGAAACCTCTCTGTTTTAAAGTGTCAGAAATTGCATTATCAATTACTGTTTTCTACTTTTATTAATCAGAGACAATTGTGTGAGCCTAGCTTCTAATCAACATGAAACACCTGTGTTAGCAAACAGAGATGATAGCAGTTCAGCCAAAAGCAAACAAGAAAGAATAGTAGGACTGCACCCTTATGCATATGATTTCCCTTTACAATGTTTGGAAACTCTCATCTCAGAAAAATTACTGTATGAAAACTAGTTCACAGTTAAGCTGAAGAATGTGGTGCTTTGCTACAAGCACCAGTTCAGACATTTATGTTCTGGGTAGACTAAAACAGGACCTTTAACATCCCAGAGCCTCATCTGTAAAATGGGACTTCATTTAATAAACATTTATTTAATGCCCACCATATGCCAGAGTCCTGCTCTGGCACTTTAGGACAATACACTGGACTGCAGGATCAGCTTCAACCACAAGGTCAGCGGTTCCAACTCACTAGCTACTCCTTGGAAACCATATACAGGGTCGCTATGAGTTGAATTCGATGGCACTTACCAACAAGAATGCCCAGAGAATATGAGATGAACAAAATATGTCCCCATCCTCAAAGAACTCATAGTTCAATGAAGAAGTTAAACAAACTCCTACTAATTATAATACAACCTAAGTCTTATAATAAGGAGCTCTGGTATTGTAATGGTTATGAATTGGGCTGCTTATCTCATGGTCAGCAGTTCCAAACTATCAGCTGTTCTGCGGGAGAAAGATGAGGCTTTCTGCTCCCATAAAGATTTACAGCCTCAGAACTGACTCCACAGCACACAACAACAACAACAAAGTGTTATAATAGAGATATAGTGAGCATGTACAAAAG